AGGCATGCGTGCGTACATACATACATATGTGCAATTCAAAACAACCACAACCTATTTGGGCCTATGCAACTAATTCTTCTTAGCAACACTGAGGATCAAACACAGGGATCCCATGCATTCTAGGCAAGCATTCTATCACTGAGCTACACCGTCCCCCAGACCATATGCAAGGAATCTGAAATGCAATCTAAGTTCTCAAACCAATTCATACTCTCCAAGATAATTCTAAAAGAAAGCCCTATATAGGAATTGTCTTCTAAACATTTCAAACCGTCCCCACCATTATCTCCCTTTTTTCTCCACACACAGGATGCTTAAGTCCCTAGCCAACACCAGCTACTACTTCAAGGTACCCAATGAATGGCCCCCAGATGTGCAAGAGATTGAAGAGAGGCTGTAACCCCTTGCCCTGTCATTACCCCATTGCCTCTAATGAGTACTGATGATATCCCTTGACTTCTAAGCATCTTCCTTGGTCTATCTGCAGCTTCCTGCTGACTGTGGATGTTTATAGTGATTAATTAGTATACTAGCATTCCTGAGTGCTAGGCAAATATTGCATACTGCATGTGCCGACCCACTGTTATCTCTGAAGGCCTCACTAATCCCTTTCTGGATTCCACATAATCTCAGGGCTGAAGGGACCACCCAGTTCTGCCAGACTCTGGAATGTGCCTTCTGGTCAACCCAGAGCTTCTTCCAAACCTATCTTGTTCCTTCCATCTGTCTTTTCTGAGTATGCAGACATGCCTGTGCATGCACGTGTGTGTGTGTGTGTGTGTGTGTGTGTGTGTGTGCATGCACTCACAGGGTATGCACTCATGGGTGACATTGAGTGTGCTACTCTGTCATGATGATGCCTTACTCTCTTGAGGAATGGCCCCTCACTGATCTTTGAGATGGCTGGAAGCAAACCCCGGGGACTCTCCAGTCTCTGCCTGCTACAGCGATCTAGTACTAGCGATAGCACTACAGCCTACTCAGCGACACTCAGCTCTTTCTGTTTGCTTGTTTCTTTTGTTTTGTTTGTTTGTTTGTTTGTTTGTTCTTTGAGACAGGGTTTCTCTGTGTAGACCTGGCTGTCCTGCAACTCACTTTGTAGACCAGGTTGGCCTCAAACTCACAGAGATTTAACTGCCTCTGCCTCCAGAGTGCTGGTATTAAAGGTGTGCACTACCACTGCCTGGATAGCTCTTTAGTTTAAGTGTGGATGCTTGGGATTTGAACTCAGGTCCTGATGCCTGCATAGCAACTGTTCTTGCCCACTGAGCCATCTCCCAGCCCATCCCTTCTCTTTTTCAAACTGCTGTTGTTTTCCTTAATATGACTTCACCCCTCCCCAGAAGACAGTTATACAAGTAAATGTGGGAGGCAGAAAAGAGACATGTCAGTGATGACTAAGTCTGCCTAGCTCCCTCGACACTTGCAAGAGCGTCAGAATTGGCTCTCACTTGCCCCAGCCTCTATAAGAAATCCTTTGCTGAGGGGGTGATTTTTCCTGAAGATCATTCTTTCTTCATGACCAAATGCTGGAATGTGCCACCAGAATAGATCTTTTCTGCTGCCAGAATACATTCTCGCCTCACAGACTCATGGTCACTGTAAAAGGACTTCCCCTAATAAAGAGCCAACTGGTATTTCCTGGAAGTTCTGTCTCCAGTCAGAGCTCATCAATCGCCTTTGCTTTCCTCTCCCTCCATATTGCTTTAGTTTCTTTAAAAAAAAAAGGGGGGGGGGGAGTTTCTCTGAGATGCAATGACCTCAAGAAGGAAAAAAAATGTAGCCTCCTACTTACACCTCTGGTACCTCTGGTTTGGGCAGCCAGCCCTCCCAGCAGGATCACAGCCTGCCTCTGAGACGACAGGTAAGGCAATGAGCACCTGCCACCTCTTGTCACAGAGCCTCAGAGTTCTGCAATCCTGAGAAAGATGAGAAAGTTCACCCAGAAGACAGGTCAGGCAGCGAAGAACCTGCCATGTAAGTGTAAGGACCCGAGTTCAATCCCCAACACTCTTGTAAAGAGTCTACAATGCAATGTCCAGCCCAGTGAGAAACCCTATCTCAAAATACAAGGTAAAGAGTGATTAAGAAATGACAGCCAAAGTTGGCCTCTGTCCTTCACGTGCATACAATCATGTGGGCACACACAGAGATAGTAACCTAAGAGATTTTTACAGAGCTTGTGAAGGGACTCAGGAGCTGAAGCCAGACATTTCTGGGAGTTACAGGCCAGCCTGAACTACCTAGTGAGTTCTGGATCAGCCTGGGTTACAGAGACTTTCATCTCAAAAACAAACACCTGTTGAGATGGTTTAGCAAGGCAAAGGTGCTTAACAGAGTGCCACCTCTGGGTACCACCATGAAAGGAGAGAAATCACTCTTAAAAACCGTCCTCTGATCTCAAGTTCAACTACACACACGGAAGCACACCCCAAAGACTAATAAGGAGCCCAGCCTCATTCCCAAGGATTTTACCTACGCAAGCTAAGTAGGAGGTTAACCAGAGTTTAACCAACACACACAACCTCTAAAGAATTCAAACTCAAACCCCAGGTTTATCTCATATGCATTGTTTTTAAGACAGCAGACCCTTCCCATAATCTCATCACATTGAAGACAAACAGATGCAAACTGTCCATAACTAAGACACTTCCACGTCCTTAAGAACCACCAGATGTTGTAAATTTACTGTGAGTATAGCAGACACTTGTGATCAAAACACAAGAGAGCTGAAGCAGGGAAATCTCTAGTTTGAGGTCTGCCTAGACCACATAGCAAGTTCAAGTCCTTGGACTACAAAGTGGGACCCTTTGTCAAAAACAAAACACAAAATACAAAACAAAAAATGGAGCTGGGGGCCATAGATCAAATGGCAAAGCGATGTCCCAGCATGCTCAAAGCTCTTATTTCAGTATCTAGCATTGTATGAACAGGGTCCAAGGGCGCACATCTTAAACTTCCAGCATTTAGGAAGCTGAAAGATCTTCAGCTACACAGTAAGGTGGAGGCTAGCCTGGGCTACATTAAATCTACCTAAAATAAAGTCATAGGCTTGGGTAAACTGAGGCTCACCAGACTTTTGCACCTACTTTGCAAAGCCAATCTGGACAAACCTAGGTGTATGCAGATGTAATTTAGATATTCAAATCTTTGCCCTGTCCCACCCCCATCCTTTTTTGCCATTAAATAAGTAAACTATTCCCTTCGGTACTTTCACAAACAATTGGACCAAAACAGCCAATACTAACTACATGTAACTCTTTTGGTCTTAAGGAAACAAAATCACTTAAGCTTAGCATCTTTATTAGACTTAACAACCTCACAAACAGTGAACCAAAATTTTGCATGTTCTAAACTACAGATTTCTTTGGGCGTCCATTTTATTCTTTCAAATACCTTTTAATTCAACAATGTTTTCGAACTCATCAACAGATATTGATCAAATGTCTTCCTGCAAGTCATTCTGTGGCAGCCTGCAGTAGTCACCTTGGGTGCCCGGTCTCCACAGCAGTGCTTTTTAGCCTGACCTCCCTATGTTTTTTCTGCACCTTATCCATGGGAGTGGACAGTGTCCAAATCTCCAACACTGTCCTAACTCCTTAGAGAATATACACCCCATCTGTGCCAGAGCAATCTTTACTCCAGAGAATAAGGCCTCCCCCAGGTGTTCATGGAAAGCAACTTTTTGGATCAAGGGGCCCACACGTCAGTCTAGGTGGGGGCAGGGAATCAGCGTTATGGCTAGTGCCCTGCAGCTGACAATGGAGCGCCACAGCTTTGCAGTTTTTAAGGTTTACTTTATTTGTTTGTTGAGACAGGGTCTTCTCACTATGCAGCCCTGGCTGTCCTGCAGCTCCTGATGGAGACCAGGCTGACTTTGAACTCACAGATTGCCCAGCCTCTGCCTCCTGAGTGTTGGGACTAAATGTTGCGCCACCATGCCCTACTCAAAGATTTACCTTTATTTTTAAATTATGTGCATGGGTGGGGGAGGGGTGTGTGCACACGAGAGAGTGCAGATGCATAAGGAGGCCAGACAGGGTCTTGGAGCCTCTGAACCTGGAGTTGCAGGCCCTTGTGACTTGCCATCCCTACCCCCACACATCTATGTGATTTGGGTGCTAGGGACCGATCTCTGCGACAGCAACAACCACTGTCAATAACTGAGCCTTCTCTCCAACCCAGACTTGGGCTTTTGACAGGGCCAAATCCACTCTGATCTCCCCCTTCCCAGCCCCCACCCCTGCAAGTCCCCATTCCTGAGCCTTGAGGAGGAGGTCACTCCTCTGGGATCCCCATCAAGGAGGCAACATCAAGGTCTCCCTGAAACCCCTCTAAGGTGGAGTCCCAGACATCATCCAGATCAAGCAGCTATTGTGCTGAATCATGGCACAGCAGGATGAGCCCCTTCCCCTTTCCTAGTTCTTTGGGGACCTTTGAGGACTCGGGTAGGGTAGCATCTCCCTCACAACCATTGCCCCACCCTTGAAAGATGCCAGCCACTCTGGCTCTGGGGACAATCTCAACTGGACTCCAGAGCCAGGGTCCACCTTCTTCAGATTCTCACAACCTTACCAAGAACACCCAGTGTTTCACTATCAGTGGTCTCCATGGCAACCGACAGGGTGTCAGAGGCACAAATGGTGGGGATTCCAGAGAAGGGGTTGCAGGGAGCGCCCCTCTCCAGTCCCTGAACTCACATCCACCTCCTAAGGCACATCCTCTTCTCTCCTGCAGGATTGTGACACCCCCTCACCACTCCACCCCGCCCCAAACCAGGTTTCTTTCAGAGGTCTCCCGGGGCCCAGCGGCCTCCCAGAGGTCACCAGAGGGATGCTGTTGATTTTTCACGGCGGGGAGGGGGGAGGTGATGAAAAGCTGGGGCGCAGGATGCACTTGACCCCCTCCCCGGGGACCAAGAGGGACCCGGCGTGCAGCGCGGGCGGCGAGAGCCAGCCCGGGGGTGGGCGGTCCCCTAAGTCCCACCTTCGGGGCGGCGCCTGTCGGCGGGGAGTGTCAGGAAGAGGAAGAGCGCGGCCGGGTGTGCGGTGCAGAGCAGGGGCCCGGCCGAGGCAGCTGCGCGCGGGCCACCATGGCCACGGACGAGCTGGCCAGCAAGCTGAGCCGGAGGCTGCAGATGGAGGGCGAAGGCGGCGAAGCGACTGAGCAGCCGGGGCTCAACGGGGCGGCGGCGGCGGCCGGGGCTCCCGACGAGGCTGCCCAGGCGCTGGGCAGCGCGGACGACGAGCTGAGCGCCAAGCTGCTGCGGCGCGCGGACCTCAACCAGGGCATCGGCGAGCCGCAGTCGCCCAGCCGCCGCGTCTTCAACCCCTACACCGAGTTCAAGGAGTTCTCCAGGAAGCAGATCAAAGACATGGAGAAGATGTTCAAACAGTGAGTACCCTTGCACCCCGTTCCCCGCCACCCTAGACCCGGCCTCGGGCCCGAACCGCCAGTATCCCCAGTCAGGCTCCCCCAGGACCCTAACTCACCAGGGCTAAGAACTCTGCTGCCCTTCCAGGGAGCCACGAGGCTTCCAGACCCACCAGCGCCCAAGTGGGTCTGGGGACCTCTCCCTCCTGGCCCTGGCACATGACCCCCCCCCTTCCTGGTGATGCTGCCCTCAAGATACTCCTCATGGGTTGGAAGCCCCTGAGGTTCCTTCCAGACAATTACAGGTCCCCAATGAGTCCCCACCACCACACAGGGCGCCGACTCCCCTCTCACTGTAGGGTGGTGCACCTACCACCCTACACCCACACACACCGAGAAAGGGTCGGCGGCTTCCCTTCCTCTCCTGTCCCAATACTGGACTCCCTACCCCCACCGTGGCACAGGCACCCCTAGTGCCCCCCTCTCTCAAAGGGGACACAGTCCTGGCACCCGTGCTAGGCAAATATGCATGCCCCTTAGTTCCTTTAGTTTTAGATTGGGACACACACACACTCACACCAATTATTCTATGGTAAAAAACCCTTTCCACCGCTCCCTCCCACCCTGTTGGCCAGGTACCATTTCCTTAACACTCAAGTGGCCTTGCTAGGAACGGGCTCCTCTCTCCCTGTCCCCCAGTCTATAGTCATGTAACTCCTCTCTCATCCCTTCAGGGTAGAGCCCCCTCAGGCCTTATTGCCTCCATACCCTGTGGGTGCCTGTCCCTGCTCCTCCTCCCCCTTCACTTGGCAGTGGAGACTCCCCTGGTCTCTCAGAAGGCTGAGCTCTCCCCAGCAGCAGCTCTTCTCTTCCCATGCCATCCCTGGTGCCCATACTCTCTCCAGGCACAAAAGGGGACCCCTTGCTGTGTGCCCTGCCTAGGGACTCCCACCCCCAGCCTCCAGTCCCTATGATCCCAAGCTGTAACCCTACCAGGTTAGAAGGGTGTGTGCGCCTAGCCATTCCACACCCCACAAACTGAAGCAGTATGGAGGGGAAAAGGAGAGTTCCCATGGGGGTAGGGATGGTACCAAGGTCCCTCCACATGACAGTCGTCCCTACTTCCTGTCACGCCACCTACGGTTCCTAGAAAGGGAACAGTCAGCCCTATAGGTACTGGGCTGGAGTGTATCCCAGATCGGCAAAACCCGCTAACGCTGAATTCAGGGTGAGGTATGGAGGAGTCCCAAAATGGAAAACAGTGGGCAGGTAAAGGGTTGGCAGCCCCAGCCACACCCAGCTGACAGTACCCAGACACCAACCAGGAAGCCAGGAAAGGGGCGTTCCCTACATCCAAGGGTCAGAGAGGCTCTTCTTACTCTCCACGGCTAGTCCTCGCATGTGACTAGAAGCCCCATCCCCACACCGCTACATGAAGGTTAAAGGCCTAGAGGGCTCCCCTGCTTCGGTCTCCATTGACTGATCAAGCCAGGAGAGCAGGAGTCCTCATCCCTTGCTTTTGAACCTAAGGCAGCTATGACTTCCAGGTAGAGCTGCGCTGTGGGGTAGTCCAGAGGGTATTCACACGCCATGCGTCATAGATCTCTGAAGCGACATGTTGAGAAGGAGCTCGGCCATGGTTCCTACCAACCCCGTGATCCAGGATGGTTTCATCTCCCTTGCACAGATGAAATCTGGCCACACACAGACCACTAAAGTTATGGGCCAAGACTTCACAGCTACAAAATGATAGGATCAGGATTCGAACTCAGACGGGCAGCTCCAAAAGCCACGGTCGTCCCTTCTCAAAATACACTGCCTTTCTCTTGCATTCGGGTAGACTGAGGTCTAGGAATGATACCTCCTAGCTGTAGCTGCCAAAGAAATGTCCAGACCACTCCCTGCCACCCCTCCCCCCACTCTGCTCTGGTCTTCCCTTCATCGTTTTCTGTCATAAATACCTGTGTCACTGTCTAGAAACACACCCCAGCATCCCTTTCTGTGTGTGTGACTGACTTTGCCCTGTGCGGCCACCACCAGCCCATTTTACCCTTCTCGGGTCACCCTTCTCTTGTGTGTATTTTTATCCCCAAACCATGGCAGTGTTTTGGGGTGCCCAGGTACCCCTACCTAAAGAGCAAGCTTGAGGGAGATAACCTTGGGGGAAGCCAGTGGGGAGAATAGACTGGAAACTGTGCTTACAAAGAACGCTCAGTTTACACGAGCTGTTTTAGGGGAACAAGGTTGATGGAGAAGTAACTTTTGTGGACCCCTCAGAGCTACCTCTTGGCACTAGCGCTGCTTGCTGAGGTGTTGGGAGGGGTGACAGGGCAGGAAGGGTCCAGAAAGCTGAACCTCAGGGGAAGGAAATGCCACTCGCCAGAGTCCCTGGCCTGGGTACAAAGCTGCTAATGTTGCTTTCAGGGAAACAAGGCCTCACTGTGCCCGATGAGCCCAGCCCAGCTGAATCCCGGCTGGGAACCACCACAGACGGCCACAGGGAGCACAGAACACCCATTCTGCTTCCACAGTGCAAGTGGCTGCTGCCTCCTGGGACCCAGCAGGTCCCAGGATCGCAGCCAGGGCTCTGTTGAGAGCAAGGGAAAGGGAGGAGAGGAGCCAGTGCCCCTGGGAAGTAGAGCTGGCTTTTCTTTGGCAGCCACAGCTAAGGAGATGTCATCCCTGGACCTCAGTCTTCTCAGGTGTGAGGAGAGGCGGTGTGTGACAATACTCAAAGATACTTATGTTCTAGCCTTACTCCTATGGGGTCTTGAGCCTTGATACTCATCAGAACAACTGTGCTGTCTTCTGCTCCATCTATTCACTGTGGGTGAGCAGATGCAGCCCTAGGTCAGTGGTGGAGGGAGAAAGAAAGGAAAGAGAGGCTCTGCCATCCACCTCACAGCCAGCCCCTCTCCCCATTTTACAGATGGGAAAACTGAGACCCAGACAGGAGAAGTAACCTGCTCAGGATCATAAATTTTTCTGAAAGTAGGGCTTAGAGATGATGACACGTGCTGCCGAGCATAGAGGCCCTGCCTCTTAGAGCCTGGACACTCCACCCCCATAGCCTCAGGCTATATCCATTTTCTCTCTCTCTCTCTCCCCCTCTCTCTCTCTCTCTCTCTCTCTCCTCCCCTTTCTCTGCCCACTCATCCAGAGTTGTTTCTAGAAGCTTCCAAGGCAAAAAGATATGGGACAGACCCACAGAATTTCAGGGCTGGCTACCCCTGAGCTGACAACAGCCTAGGAATTGCTGTGTAAGCCAACACCTGCCTGAAAGGCAGGCAGCCTCGTAATTGTGGCTCTGCTGTGGAATCTGAGGAAGGTGCCCTAGTTCCTTGTCCTGCCTGGCCGGCCCTGGCCCTATCCCTCCGCCCAGCCTCCTCCCCACACATTTCATCTCATGACCTCTTGCATCAGGCAGGCTAGCTTCCCCTTCCTTCTGGCGGGAGCTTTTCATCAAAAGCTCCCCGGGCCACCACCGGCCTTCTCTCTTTTCCCTCCCTGGCTGCTGACAGCCTGCAGCTCCTGGTGGCTGAGGATCTAGACACATGTGGACCTAGAACACATTTAACCCTTCCTGAGCCTCTTTCCTCCCCTGATCCTCGGCGCTCTCAAGTGCTCAACCATGAACTTGGCACAGAAGCGGTACTTACTAAGTTGCTGTCATCACGATCTCAAGTTCAGCATATGCCCTGGCCCTGGTGGCGGTCATCAGCTCTAACATTGAAGCAGCTCGGAATGAGCCTCTGGCTGCCTCCACTTCCCCCCAACAGAGCTACCAGGCTGCTAGGCTGGCAGCCGTCCTTTGCTTTGGGCCAGAATGACAGAGATTCGGCCCATAAGCCTTTTTGCTCTTGCCCAACAGACGCTCTGATTGACAGCTACATATTGCTTTGATAAACAACAAAAATAGAGAAATGAATTCGTTATCACTTAATTACGTGGAAGGCAGGTGGCGAAGAAAAGGGAAGAGCAAACAGCAGTCCTCCTGGTGACACAAAACTGGGCCACAGGCCCTCGCTACCCAGCTGGGTCGCTCTGGGCAGGGCACTGGGCTTCTGAGTCTCCGTTTGTCTTGGGCCCACAGACCTAGCTGGCAAAGCGCTAAGAATTAAGTTAGGTAAACCGATATGGTCTGGGTGGTCTTAGAAAACATGCTAAGTTTTTTCATATGCAAATTCCAGCCAGAAGGCCTCATAGAACTTTCCAGTCTACCCGAGGTCTTTGGTGGGTCCAATGGGCTGAGGGCTTCTATGGTTCTACCATCTGGAAAGACTGCATGCAGCCTCCTAAGGGTGATTTCCCAGGGCCCTGTCCTTACTAGAGAGAGTCCCAAGGGAACTCACCTGTATTAGTTAGGAGTCGGTTTAGACCTCAAGCCTCAAAGGTTGAGTCGGCTCGCTTGGCCAAGCTCCTGAGCCCAGATCCAGGAGGCGGGGGGGGGGGGGGGGGGGTCTGGCCCTTGTTTGCAGAAGCCAGAGCCTAGCTTGGTGGGGGTTGGGGTGCCTCACACCCCAGGGAGAGAGGATTCCCAACAATGGGCCCCTTCTCCTTTCCTCCCACTTCCCCTCTGCATCTGAGTCACCTCACCTCCCCCCACCCCTTCTGGGGACTTTCTGGTTCACACCTCCCATCTGCCCTCTTCCCTCCTTCACACTCCTCTCTGTAGCCTGAGGTCCATGCCCGCCTTCACCTGGAATGGTCCAGGCTCTGGGGTCCCCAGTGCCGCCAGGGGCAGGTCAGGAGCCCCCGTCACTTTGCAGCCTCTTGCAAGGACGGTCCCCACACCCTGCAGCCACTAAGTTCCTTCTGGCTGCCCAGCAGCCTTCTCGATGGACTTCTGCTTTGCAAGAACAGTGGTTGCAGGCAGGTGTGGCTAACAGGGACCAGGCCCAGCAGCGCTGAGCGGGAAGTCCTTCCAAACTCAGTCATTTGGCTGATGAAAGGGGGGGGGGAGACTGTTGACCGACAGGGTGCCAGGACCCTGGCTCTCTTCTTCTATTTACTTATTATTG